ACCGCCACCGCCACCGCCATTAACTTCCACCATCGTCGTCGCCACCTCCATCTCTACCTCTACTGCTGCCACCGCCGACTTCCATCACCACCACCACAACCACCGCCACCACCTCTACATCTACCTCCACCTCCACCACCTCTACATTTACCTCCACCTCCACCACTACCACTACCTCCGCCACCGAATTCCATCACCACCACCGCCGCCGCCGCCACCTATACCTCTACCTTCCACCACCGTCACTGCCACCTCCACCACTACCGTTATCACCACTAACTTCCACCACCACCACCACCGACTTACATTACCACCACCACTATCACCTTCTACCATTGCTGCTGCCACCTCCACCACTACCGCCACTGCCACCAACTTTCATCACCACCACCGCCGCGGCCACCTCCACCTCCATCGTCACCGACCTCCATCACCGCCACATCCACTGTCATCTTCCACCACCACCACTATTGTCACCTCCCTTACCTTCCACCACTGCCACCTTCCACCATCATTACCTACACTATTGACGTCTTCCACAATTACCACCACTACCTTCTACCAACACCCTACTACGTTCTGCCACCACCACTTTCCAACACCACCACCTACATTACTACCGCTTTCCATATTCACCACCATCAACCATTGCCACCGTTTCTTAATGTTATTTTGTCAATTAAAATTATTTGTCACTAACATGGGTATTTTGGAGAATTTAATTTGAAATTTATTATTTTTTAAATTTTACATTAGTTCATTCCTATAGATTTCATATTTGGAATCACCATACCATTCCATTCCCATTCTCACTTGCATTCCATTCCATTCTTGCACACCAAACGCAACATAAGTGGAAACAAATTGTAATAAAAATGAGATAGAAACTGAGGTTATTGGAAATAACAAATCTCGACATAACTTGAAGTAACAAAATGATTGAATTAATGTAGGAAGCTACTCCGAAAAAGGGAAATGCAAAGCAACAAGGAAATAATTAATTAAGAAGGCTAAACTAAATTGAACTAGAATAATTAACTAAAAGGAAGTTGAATTGTACTAAGAAATTGAGATTAGGTGGTGGACCTTTACAACTACAGGCATTATAAATATTTATAGACTGCATAATAAGCTAAAACCCTAAAACTAAGAATTTGAATCATAATAAAATTATATAACCTCTATCACACTAGATAAATACTATCTCCCTTGATGAGAAAATCATCTTTAGATAAACCAAGCCTTACCCCCATAATTTGCCGTTTTAGCAATATGTATTATAACAAATTCGTATGTAACGACACACTCAGCACCACGCCATAACCCAAAACACTACCCAAACTGAAATCCATCGTCCATCGATTGATGGAGATTCTGGAGCCTATTTAGATCGCCAAAAAGTCATATGTACGAGTTGACACAATTTTTCAAGATAATTTTGACGAGTTCATTTTGACTTGAAAAGACCCTAGTCTGATTGGAAATGGCCTAACTACTAGTGTGGGATTTTTTTTCAAACAAATTTAATCATTTAGGGCTTGAGAATTGCGTTTTCACAATTTTAAATATTTCATGATTTTTGTTAAAAGTCTAAATGTCTCGAATTACTTTTATTTTTGGTATTTAGTAGTTTTTATTAATTAGGTTTTTTACCTTATTTTTACAAAAAAATTTAAGCAAGTTTGATTTTGAGCAGTTTCAGTATGTTTTTAGGGTTTAGAGTTTCATTTTTATAAATAGGGTTAAATATATATAGTGCAGATCAGATCATTCAATTTAATTATGAATAATATATCAATTTATATATATATATATATATTTAGGGTTTCTTATGCTGTTAGGATTTCTTTATTATAAATAAATCTACTACCAAACAAATTATATAATTCAATTATCAATAATATACTAGAGTTCTTTGTTGTTATTCTTCAACTTTATGGATTCAAAATTACCCCTTGTTTCTTTTTGAATGTTTTATAGCTTCGTATTCGTCATTATTCATATAAGAGAAAGGAAAAAGCTTGCCTTAGGCCGCATAAGCAGGGCTCTCCTTCTGATGTTGATATGGACCAATAACAACATGACATGTGTAAAAAAAATTAAAAAATTAAACCTGAATCATTCGGATCTTTACACGGTCATCCAAAAAGGAAGAGGATTTTCTCTCACGCGTGTGTGAGACTTGGTATTAGTCTCTCCCTCTCTTTAAATCACAATTCTTTCTCTTTTCCCACCAAATCCCCAATGATGCCCACCATCTCCCTAATTATAAAACCCTAATATTAATCCTCTCTTCCACCAACCGACCTCCACCACCTCCACTGCTTGCCACCTCCTCTATTCCCAAACTCTAATCTTTTATATCCAATCTTTAGAGATAATTCAAGTCACCACATTCGTTGTCTACCATCTCTGTTGCAACCCTATCTCCAGAATTCCTCAAGAGGCCGACCAATTAATAAATACGCATAACTCTAGTGACATCCAAAATTTTGAGATTTATCACCAGTTGTTGCAATCTGAAGCCAAATTGATTTCCTTGAACTCCATTGATAATTAGAGTCTTACAGTTGTGGTTAATTTACCATATTTGGGCTAATTGTTTAGCTTATTCTATAACGGATTGCAATATGAAGGGTTTGCAATAGAAAATCTCAAACCATGAGGGAAAAAAAAAAAAAAAAAAAATTTCCTTTTGGATGATCTGAAAAAAATTCAAACAATTTTTTTTAATTATTTTAAATTTTTTTGGACATATGTCATATTTTTATTGATCCAGGTCAGGACATTCCTACTTATGCAGCCTGAGGCAAACATTGTTCTAAGAAAAATAACAAGAGAGACGATGTTATTGACTATGAAAAGATACAACTTTAATTCACTTTGCTTCTTCTTTTTTTTTTTTTTTTTTTTTTTTTTAGCTTCTTGTCATTAAGATTAGATATAAAACTAATTTTCCTTATAAAATATGCCTTAATTCCACAGTTTTCTCCAAAGTCCTTAAAAACAAGAAAATAATAAAAATTGACATGTACTGGATGTTGAAATTGATACTGATTACACTCAAATATATAAAGCGACTCTCTTCTATTGGAGTATGTTTCAAATTCTCAATAATGCTGTTATGAAAATGTGCAACCGGTCACATGTGTCAAAGCATGAAGATTGAAGGTGTGGAAATTAAGTGTAGCCCGTTTGTCTGATATGTGCGAGACTTGTTTCCTTATTTGAAGAATTGTGTTTCTAAAGGATGCAGTCTTGTAGGACAAGTTGTTTCTTTGTAATTAAGGTTATCTCTTATTAGACTCCTATCTTGAAGTTATGGTTGATATGGTAACTTCTAATTAGATAAGTTACGGAAATGCTTGTTCAAGAATAATGTATTAAAGACTATCAATATGGGTGGAGAAGTCGGAGAGAAGAAAGAAGAAGGGTTTGAGTGGGTGTGAAAAGAAGAGAATTATGGCCTCATCAGAAGTGGGCATGTGTTTCACCATAAATCAAAAGTGGGTTTGGTCCAAGCCTAAAAAGAGTCAGTGAGGTTCGTAGATAGACTTCTTATGAGATAGAGGGTTGGCAATCTCCCCCGACCCAGCGGGTTTCCGCCCTTCCTCATTCCTAATGAGGCAAATTTGGTAGTCTCTTAATTAAATGGGTTTAGAACGGATATGATAAAATAATTAAAAATCCAAAGTAGGTTTGGGGCGGAGGCGGATTTAGTGATAAACCCGCCTCCGCCTCAATTATATATATACCTTTAAAAATTATATATATATATATATATAATATTTAATATTTTTAAGACCCTTATTATTTTGCTGCAAGTATCAATTAATATATTAATATTCACTACTTAGTAATTTAAATGTTAGACCAACTTATTTATCAGTCCAATTTGAGCATATTGAGCTAGTATTTTTACTAAATAATAAAAATAGCATAACCTGCCTGCCTGCCTCCACAAGTAAACGGAATACGCGGGGCGGAGTCGATACTTTGTCTACCAGAGTAGGGGCCGGGCTGGTATAACAGTTACAAACCCCTCCCAGAGTAGGTGCGGAATTGATATGACGGATTTTCTAACGGGGCAAAGCAGGGATTAGCTAAACCCGTCCCAACTCTACCCCATTGTCATCCTTAGATGGTTAAGTGCATTCTCTACTTGTAATATATCTTCTTGATTCGTAATAGTAAAAGTTTTCTTTTCTTAGACATGCCCTAGAGATTGGGTAAATTAATCACGTAAATATTATGTGTTGTGCATTGATTAATAAATGATTATATCTCCTATATGCTTATATGATCGATGATGTGTGCTTCCGCTATGCCCCAACTTCATCATCTTCTACTTCTTCTTTTAACTAGCACAGTAAGACTGCAATTAAGCACACCAATGCTACACCATTTAAAATGCTATGGCTTTACCACTTTACTTGAACACAAGCATACCCTTTTACTTGTAGAAGGATTCCTTGCTAATATATGTCTTTGTCAACGATATTGTTAGTAGCACGTCTCATGGCATTTCGAAATTATTTTAGAAGCCTGTGTTATTAAGTATCTGACAGGAAGCTAGGAAAAATAAAAAAAAAATTAAAAATTAAACCAATGGGACACTATAAATACCTTTCCTTTTTCCTCTTAATACTCATTGTGTTCTCCTACCCTAAAACAGGTATGAAGATATAATATGGGAATGATGCTGCCAATGTAGTGAAAGCAGTTGAGGGTTCTATCTCTTCATCAATTCTGATTAATGTTGTGAAAGATATGAAAGTTTTGCTAAGAATTTCCCCAAATTTCTGAGTACTGCATACTTTAAGGGAAACAAACAGAGCAACCCATATTCTAGCTAGAATTGCTGTGAGTTAAAATATAAAAGTAAATGAGTTGTTGGAACTTCCTCATCAAGTAGTGACGGATAATTGTACTGCTTTGATTTCTAATGAATAACACTTTGCTTTTGCCTTGAATTTTTTTTTTTTTTTTTTTTGCCCTTCCTAGAAATCATTCCCTTCCTTGATTGAAACTAGGCTCTCCTTGTAGATAAGAACCTTAAGACAATCATCCTTCCCACGGTGTCTGAGATCTTTAGTTTCTCCTGTATTAGGGTTATACAAAACCGACTCTCCAGTTTCTAGTTCTAAAAAGAGTTCACCATTTTTCCAGAACCCAAGTGGCCTTTCGACATCTAAAAGTGGTCCAATAGTTAGTTCTTTCATCCAGCATTCCTCCACCGTCATCAGCCATATGTCAATATATTTCTCAACCTCATTTGGATCATAAATGAACATGGCTAAAGAATCATTGTACATAGAAAGATCCCCCCATTTTGATTTAGCCATATCTGGCGGCATTTTTATCTCTCTAAATACCTCATTACCAATGTCAAAGGAAAGGATGATCAGAATCTTATCATATTTCTCATTGGTTAACCAATAATAAAATCCATTCATGTATGTATTACCCAAGGAATCTTGTATGGAACCATACAAATCAACTTCGAAGACTCTCCAAGAATCAGAACCTAGTGTGTACACTGAAACAACTCTAGGATCATATAAGGTATCAATTTTGTTATCCCAAAAGTCACGAATCCAAATAAGCTTGCAATCATTTGTAGTGAGGTCTAACCCAAATCCAAAATAATAAGAACAGGCACGGAAATGTGGTGGAAGGTTGGAATGAGGTATTGAGAGGAACCTAAATTCTTTAGTAGCAGGGTTCCACAAAGCTATGCGATTCCAATTCCAAAGCCCAAGTATACCATTAAGGGGACCAATGACACCTGAATCACAGCGCATATGTTGAAAATCTAGATCATGAGATAAAAGGGGCTCTTTGGTAAGTATTTCATTAAGAATTAGGGCAAAAGCAAATTTTTCCGTGCAATAATTGTGATATTGAATAAGGAGACGTGCATTGTTGCTGTGATGGTTGAGTTGTTTGGTAACAAAGTTAGAGTTTCTGATGAGAGCATTCCAGGTTTTGCACACACACTTGAAACGCAACAATGCTTTCACAGGCAATCTTAGGAGAATCTCAATTATATCATTTTCTGACGTATGATTATCACCCTTGTCCCTCAACATTGGATCTAAATATTTCTTGTTTTAGGTGCTAAGTCAATCCTTTTCTTTTCCTGAAAAAAAAAAAATAAAACAAAAGAAGATTAAAACAATTAATAAAATTAAGGAATAATTTTTGTTATAATTAATCTAAATCATCAAATAATCATGTGACCATCTTGCTAATTTTCATTTATGAAAGCACGGCAGAATGGAAGAAAAAGCAATGAAAAGCCAACAAGATGATCTAAACAACTACAAAAAAACTATAGGAATGTACGAATAACTAATCATGAATACGAAAATGAAAGTGATTAAACCCTTTCAAATGAGGGAGTGGAAAGGCTCCCCATCCACTGGATGGGTTGTGGGGTTCTTGCACTTGGGTCCCAAAACACCCTTCAGCTCCTCCATTTAGAAGGAACCTTCGGTCCCCCTATCAGCAGTGCTCGTGGAAAAAGTAAAGAAAATTAATTCAGGGATATTTAATACTTCGTTTGGACCAGAAAGAAGTTGCCTCAAGGGGACTCAATTTTGAAGGAATCAAAGTTTGTACCAGAAGCATGTATAAACTTCATTCACAAATTGGTGGAAGACCACAATATTAGTTAGCATTATTTTGGTTAAAAAAAGAAGAAAACAAAACCATTCACCTAATAAAAGCATAATATTTCAATCTTCATATGGAGTATTTGTTTGTTATTTGTGTTCCTAAAGTAGCATGATTAACATCTGCTATAAATTTTCACAATCACTTTTGCATTCATACAATGTTGGGGATAATCAACTCCGTCCAACATACTCAACGATCGACTGTTGTTGAAACTTAAATCCCTCTTTTATCACACACAGCAAAAGCATCATCACATCACATTAACACAAGCATATATAGATATAATAATCATACACATCTATGCAGAACAAAATATTTTACATGGTTCACCCAACTCTAGGACTACGTCTTTAGAAGAGATAAATTTCACTATTATGAATCAAGAAAGAAAATATACAACCACATATCAAAACCCCACTCACTCATTTATCATCTCTTCTGAGGCTATATGTATACACTCAGAAATTACATATACTCTACTATCTCCTCATAACACTCACCCTTAAACCCCTTACATATTTTCTCTCTTCTCCCTTTCTATTTATAGAGTCTTCAAAAACCCAATTCCTTATTGGACAAATATTCCTTAAGTTGCATACAAGGAGTTACCTTATCAATGTCAACTCTAAAATAGAAACTTAATTTTCATCAATTGTTTTTCTGATTAAAAGCAACAAACCTTTCATCTTCACTCTTCATATTCCCCTTTACTCTTTATCAGGCTTAGAGCAAACCCCTTCATTTTTCACACCCTTTTCCCCATCTTGAGAACTAGCACCCACTCTTGACTTGTTTCCAAAATTTGTTCCTCGTGGGCTTCACCCTATCACCTTCTTCATACTTTCGTGTCATTATCAACTCTAATTGAATCTCCATAGCACCTTACGATCATCTTCAGCTTTAATAAGCTATAATCGCACCAATTTTCTTCTACTAATTTTCAGGACCAATCACAGGCCCTGACCCACCATCGGCTCTGATACCAGTTGTTGGGGATAATTAACTCCCTACAACCCACTCAACAGTCAGCTATTGTTGAGAGTTAAATCCCTCTTTCATCACACACAGCGAAAGTATCATTACATCACATCAACACAAGCATATATAGAGATAATAATAATACATATCTATGCACAACACAATATTTTACATGATTTAGCCAACTCTAGGGTTACGTCCATCACAGAGATAAAATTCACTATTATGAATTAACAAAAAGAATATACAAACACATGGCAAAATCCCACTCAATCACTCATCACCTCTTTTGAGGCTGCATGTATGCACTCGAGAATTACATATAATTTTCTCCCTCCTCACAACACTCACTCTTAAACCTCTTACATCTTTTCTCTCTTCTTTCTCTCTCTCTCTAAACCCCTCACACCCATCTCTATTTATAGAGTTTTTAAAAACCCAGTTCTTTGTTGGACAAGTATTCCCTAACTTACATACAAGAAGTTACCATATCTATCTCAACTCTAAAATAGAAATTTAATGGGGACACAATTTCCTTCACAAATTTCAGCATTCCAAAACGGAAAAGAAAATTAATTTCTGTACACAATTTTGAGCCACAAACCTAACAATCTTTACCTTGGCTCAAAATTCAATCTTCACGTGCTTCTCCATAGCTCCACCTCAACTGAAGATTTCTCCACCTCAAAATTCAATCTTCACATACTTCTCCATAGCTCCGGCATGACTTTGTAGTAGTAGGTCCCACGTTCAGTAACAAAAGAAGTTTTTTCTTCATCAATCGGGTTCATGGGGATCTGATTGTAACCTGAATAAGCATCTAGGAAGGTTAATCGCTCGTACCCAGTAGTGGCGTCCACCATTTGATAAATCCTTGGCAATGGGAAGTTGTCCTTTGGGCAAGCTTTGTTCAGATTAGTGAAGTCGATACATACTCTCCATTTCCCATTCTTTTTCTGCACAACAACGACATTGGATAGCCAGGTCGGGTATTGAACCTCTCTAATGAATCCTGCATCGAGCAACCGATCAATCTCCTCAGCTATAATTCGATTACGTTCTGGAGCAAATCTTCTCTACTTCTGCTTCACAGGCTTTGCGTTCAGATCTACATTGAGGGAATGATTAGACACAGAAGGACTAATTCCTGGCATGTCTGAATGACTTCACACAAACACATCTGCATTTTGAGTCAAGAAATCAATCAACCCTTATTTCTCCTCTTCAACAAGTCTTGATCCCACCCTCGTTGTTCGATCGGCTTCTTATGGTTAATCTACACATCAAGAAGAGGTTCTTCAGTCAGAACTGATGGCTCCTCCTCCCCACTCCTGTTGGGTGGATGTTCCTGTAATTGCTATCTTGGACTTATAGAACAGATGAGAATTTTCCTCTTTCCAACAGATTTCAAAGTCATTGAATAACACTCTTTAGCTGCAACCTGGTCCCCATGAATATCAATCACCTTGGTCACATCTGGACCCAAACATCGCATCACTTAATGTAAAGTTGATGGGACACCTTAAACTCTGTGAATCCACCCTCTTCCCATCAAGAGGTTGTAAGATGGATGAATGTTTACGACCACAAAACTCTAAGTCAAAACTTTCTCAGCAGCTTGTACTGTCAATTCCACCATACCAATAGGCTCCACCCACTTCCCATCAAATCCTAGCAATGGATTTCCTGTGGGTTGAAGTTTCTCGGGATCGATCTCGAGCCGATCGAACGTTACTCTGGGCATGACATATGCACTACTTCCTGGGTCAATCAGAACTCTTCGCACTAAGCATTCTGCAACTGTTAGACTAACGACCAGTGGATCTTTATGAGGAACCTGAACGCGTAACAGGTCTATTATGTTAAACTTTACTTGTGCCAATGCACTCTGCTGATATAAAGTATGTACACTGCCAATCCTCCTCTTCAACTGGGCCTAGCGTAATCGCGTTCTGAACAGTTCCTTTGACTCCGCTGTTTATTCAGGTAAGCCATGAATTGCATTTATAATTTGAACAGGCTGAGTGCTGTGGTGATTTGGTTTCTGAGTTCTTTTGATTTTCTCAGCTGGTCAATTCTGCTCTTGTGCTGGACCTTAAATATATCCTGCAAATTCCCCCTTTGTGATCAGCATCTCCACTTGCCTCCTTAGGTTCCTGCATTCATTAGTCTGATGACCAAAGTCACTATGGAAAGCACAATGTTTAGATTGATCCCTCTGTTCAATAGGTTGTCTGATTGGTAAGGGAGGGCGAAACTTATCTTTGTTCTCTTGATACAGCCTTGCCAAGGTAACTCTGAGTGGAGTAACCAACTCCTCCTCACTGGGCTTCTTCTCCGCCTTCCAGGAGGTCTGATGTTGTGGCTGAGCTTGTTTTTGCCGAATCTTGGCTTTGGACTTATCTTTTGTTGAGATAATTGATGTCTTCCTTGCATTAGCTACCTCTTCTTCTTCCAGACGCACAAAATCGTCAACTCTCTCGTTCAGCTCATCCATGGTCTTCGGCGTGTTCACCACCAGGCTTGTGTGGAACGGTGTCCCTCGGTTCATTGCAAGTTTAAACGCTTGGACCGCTATGGATGGATGACATTCTATTACCATGCTTTGACAAGGTTAAACCGAGGAAACCTTGGAGTCATTCATCTTCGTGCTGCTTCATTGTAAAGAGGCTTGAAACATCCTTGGCCGGGCGTTTATTCCCATAGTACTGGCTTATGAACTTGTCGCACAAGTCCTGGAAACTAGCAATTGAGCCTTGAGCCAGATTCTTAAACCAATTGAGGGCTGGCCCAGCCAAACTTGTAGGGAAGCATTTGCACATTAAAGGATCATTGTTAGTATTCAAAGCCATTTTTAACTGAATGTGGTAGATGTGATCGACCGGGTCGGTTGTTCCATTAAACAGAATAAAGATCGGCATGGAAAACTTCTTTGAATTTAGAGCGTTTAGGATTTCATCAATGAACAGGAGATGCAACCGTTCTTGCTGATGAACGCAGTGTTTCGTCCTCCCTTGAAAACCATGATGGAACTCCATGATCGGCATATCTCCTTTCTGAACTTCGGTAATCGAACGTTGCCATGAAGGTTGATAGGTTGGATCAAATGATTTGTACTCCGCAAACTCACTTTGCCACGGTGATGCAGCCCTATAATCGTACACCGGCACTTCCTCTCGTACGATCCGTTCGCGATGTGGATCCAAATGAATAGATCCTTCTCGATCCACTTGACGGACATTTGGAGGTAGATCGCTTACTAAAACTTCATCACAATGAGGATCCACGCGATTGACACCTTCTGGATCACCTTGATGAATAGCATTGAACGGTAAGACTCCCTCTCCTACCGGAGGTGGCCTCGGAATAGTAGGAGCTTCACGGCACTCCATTCCAGCTCGCAATTCTGCATTCTCTTTTCTCAGGGCTTCGA